ACCAGTGAAATCACCAGTGCTGAGGCTGCGGCTTGGGTGTTCAGGAGACATATTTAGCCTCAGACAAACTTTTTCATCTTTTATTTTGGAGTATGGAGAAAGTAAAGGACTACAAAAAATATTCTACAGAGGGAGCTTGGATTAGGAGCTTGACTTCACCTGCTGCACATGTGTATCAGTGCTGGTACAACGGCTGGGTCCAGTATAAGAAAGTGAGTGTCCAGTCAAACTTTTCTTACAGAGGAGAGATCTAATAGGGGCTTTTAAATTGAAATTCATTGACACTAATCAGAGAGTTCACAGAATAAATAGTATGCATAAAACTTATGCCTTTGAAAATCTATTAACCATAATCATGAAACTACATGTTCTTGATATCCAGAACTGTGAATCATTTCAGAGATAATTAGTTTGCTTCCAGTTTATCCCAAAGAAGAGATTTTTGAAGCCTTTTTAGGATTAAAGGGTAAAAGTTCTCAAATAATAAATCATGCATTTTTAATTAAATTTTGGTCCTACTGAGGACAAGGGAAAAGTAGAATTGGAGATTAATTTATAAAATCACAAATATTAGAGCTAAGTATCACCACAGGTGTAGGTGACTGAAAGAAAAATACGAACATTTAAAGACATTCCTAGTAACCACAGAGGCTGATGGAACTCTGCCTTCTGTTTCAAATACCCCCTTGTTTAAATCAGATGTTCCCTGCACTGTAGTCAATACTAAAGACCTTTCAATGTTTTGGTATCACATGTTGTAGTAAAGACTTTTACTTTCTTTCCTGAATTTTCCAAATCCCATTCACTTCCCTATGGCCCACTTAGCTCCCAGTCGGTTTTAGGCTGCTATTTCCACTTCAGGGTTTCAAGAATTCTGAGCTTAGTTCAGCAAAGCACCAAAGTGTACACATAGCATAAGAAGATATGTCACTTTTTTAATGAGGTTATTACTAGATCTAGATGTATTTTCTTGTATAATTATAGCAAATTTCAGCTACAACCAATAATATTTTTCCCATCACTAAAAACAGAACAAGATTAGATCATTAAGATGAACATAATTTATAAACCAGTCCAGTATGTGGGAGCACAGAGCAAATGCATTCAGTTACAGAGTTCACACACATCTGTAAGTTAATGCACACAAATATGCACATGCACAATAGTTTGAAGATAGCAAGTGGCTTCTTTGTCTACTGTGATGTCCACAGCACTTCTCTTGATTAAAACTTAGACTGAAGGCTGTCAGACACCCAAAACAGAACATCCTTGAGTGCATCCCATTCAATCATTCTGATTGGGACTACCTAATAAATACATCCTTCCTTGGGATACTTCACTTTGCAATTACATTTATTATCTAATGGTTGGTTTAATGTACCTATGGGGTAATCAATCAAAATACACAAGCAACTATCCTTTCCTTATATTTTAAAGTAATCAGAATAGTCACTCTTTTATCCTTCTGCACATGGGTTTATTTTTTTTATTTTGCTTTGCTTTAGATGAGACTGAGCAGGGATTATATTTTCCTTATTTTCACCCATTTGTTTCCATAAACTAACTTTATTTTGGCTCTGATATGTCCAAGCACCAATTAGATAACATTTAATGACAACTGCAGTCCTATGGGATTTAAACACATGGAAGTTTGGTAATTTTCTCAAGAATTGCCAGTGAACAGATAAAACTCATGTTATTTGCTGAGTATCATTTGAACAGTACAGACATACCAATAACCCAGGCCTAACCTGAATTATGACATTAAAAACCAGTGGCTAGTTTAACTGTGCTGTTAGTCTTGGATTTATAACTATGTAACAGATAAATTGGCAGCATAATTTCTTTCACAGTTGCAATATGAAAACTACCAAATCTGTTCAGGCTTTAAAACAGTTTTAGTTATGGCAGAATCCTAATCAGCTGCAAAACCACCAGGTTTATAAAGTTAGTCAACTGGACATAGACTTAACATCAAACAGGCCTTGATATGAAACAAAACACAGGAGTATCTGTATGCTAGTTCTCTTTAATAGCAAATTATTTTGAAAAATAAAACCAAAACAAGAAAACAAGTCTCAAAAAATTCACAGACTTGTTGCATATAAGCTTAGTAACATTATATAAGCTTAACAAAACAATATTTCTCAAGTTAAACTGACTTAAGCCTTCGCAAACAGCAGATCCAGACAAAAAAAAACAATTAGCGAGACCAGCAGTATGTTTCTTGTTTAATTTCCACTTTAACATCAGTTATTTGTTAGGCATAAACTAGTTTCCCGAAATAAAAGAACCTGATGTGAAATTCATGTTGTCAGTGTTGAAAGCTCAGTGATAAAATTCTTATATCTCTATTTCCAAAAGGTCTGATTTGCTCTTCTGAAGAAATTTATCCTGTCTTTCTTCCAAGAAAACAGAGACGGAAACATTTTAAAAGCTGAATAACACTCAGGGATTTCATATTCCTATGAAAGAAAATGATATTACATTTCCTTAGAACATAGTCTATGCTTTTAGATTACTCTTATTGATATCTGTAAGTCTTTTAAGCATGGAAAACACTGAACTTTTGGGGAAAAGGGAAGAAATGACAGAAACAGTTGGCATACAGAAGCTATAAATTGAAACCAAAGAGAGAAAATTATCACCATACAAATCCCTCAGGCTCTTCTACATATTGTTTCTAGGTGCAACATCTTGAGGCAGATATATATATATGTATATATATCATCATATATATAACTAACATCAGATATTTGTGGGTGTCAATTTAACTTCAAACTTTTGGGAAAGAAGAACATCTCAGAGGTTGTTAGACTTATTCTGCAGTAAGATGACAATAAGTAGAGTCCTGTATTTGGTACACCCACTAGCTTCTAGAGAAGAGCCCATTCATAGTAATGTTAAGACCAAATTATTCATTTGTCTTGATTCAGCAACACAGGCTTACTGGGAAGCACATGAGCTGCTCAGCTCTAAGTGAGCAGCAATACAGCATTAGCCAATTTGCCTTGGTCAGCTCTGCACAG